AATTATTATAAAATATTAAAATTACAAAATTACCATGTATATAATCTACATGTAAAAAAATTAATTTAATGATTAATTTTTAAAAATATTAATTATAAGATAAATTTTAAATAAATTCTCAAAAATATTAGAATGATGATATATACTATACTAGCCTCTTAAACTAATGATTTTTGCCTCGTTTACGTCAGTGCATATAATAAAATTATTATAAAATATTAAAATTACAAAATTACCAATTATTCATCTTCTTCCCTTGGGCTTTCTGTTTTCCTTTCAAGGGTTTCCAACTCGATATCCAATGTGCGTTCGAAGTAAATTTTACTAAAAATGTTTTCATTAAGAAAATGGTTGAAAAATTATCATTATCTAATTTTTATCAAGTATTTCTAATAAAATTCTCAAATTTAATGAAAATATAAAAACGCAAAAAGTAATTGTCGCAAGGATGGGGCCTTCCGCAAGGTGGGTGGTACTCTATTGATTGCTTAAGAATTGATAAATTGTTTGGGGTCATCACTAATCTTTTATTAGGTGTGATGGATCATTTATTTTATTACTTATTTAAAAGAAGTAAATTTTGGTTTATGAAATCATAGTTTAGTTTAAGAGTACGATTATGCATGGAAAGATATTAACAATTTAGCAAACCAATGACACCTATTGGATGAACAGTACTAGTTAGCAAAATGATCTCTTATTAAGCTAGACTAAATGATTCATTAAATTTTATGTATGGACTACAATAAGCCCCCTCACCACCTATGAGAGAAACTTAGGACAAATGATATATTTACAAAGAAAAAGTGTTTATTTTGTTTTTAATTAATAGCCTTTCATTAACTCGCAAGAGACAATTGTTGATATAATAACTCTTTAGCTATTTATTGAAGGATTACCTTTTTAAATTACTTTATTTTTATTTTTATTTTTTATTTTGATAATATTATAACTTTCCTTATAATTCTCTTCCATGAAAGATCACTTATTTTATCTTCTATAAGTCTACGAATGGAATAAAAGGAGAATTACCATTCCCTCTCCCCCTCTTAGCCAAACACTCTCTCCCTCCTTTCTTGCTTCTCTTTCCTCCGTAGCCATAGCCGTTCTTTCCCTCTGTGATTTGGGAGAATGAATAAAAATGAGAGTTTTTCTCCTTCTTGAAATTTTCTCTATTCTTTGTTGGATTTTTTTCTCCTTTTTTAAGGGGTATTTGCCTAGGTTTTCTCAATATTTTTTCTTAGGTTTTATCTTAATTTGAAGAAGATGACAATGTGGTGATAGGCTACCTAGGTTGGAACTAGTTGCAACATTTACTTCTGTTGTTAGTGAAATAGTCGAGAGGCTAATAAAGACTTGAACTCTCTTTTGGATTAATTTGGGCATGGTTTTAGTGATTTATGGAGGAGACTTCAACTTTCCCGTGGACACGTGTGTACTCTTTGGTATGACATGCAATGGATGGAGACTATTATTTGTTGAGCTACCTTTCCTCCTCAAGAAGCTAGTATGGTAGTTGAGAATG